TTTAATCGGAGAATATAAATATGATGTAAAATTATGCGATTTAGTGCGATTTGGTTTAATCACACTAAATCACAATTACAAATTCTACGTAATGTAATCAAAAAACGTAATTGACAAAATTGATTAAATTACATTACAGCATTAGAATTTGCAATTATCAATTACGTAATAAGTGTTAGTTCCCTTAGCCGTCTATGGAATATTTATCATCATGATAGATTTTTCATAGACGGCTAACTGTGCATAAAATATAATTGAAAGTCCAAACGGTCTTTTTCCCTTGGCAGCACTCATATTAAATTTATTTATCATTACATATTTACGTTATATAACTCCTAATCAAAAATCTATGTTGCGAATGGATTCGAAATTCTATAATCATGGCGAATTTAGAAATTAAGCTAAAAAAAAAAAAATTCGGACACCAAATCCAAGCATTTGATCCCCAAATTTAATTTTAGTTACTAAATTATATCACATTAATCGATCAATGTAAACCCGAAGAAAATTTTTTGACCTCTGATCTAGATTGATAACGCGTCTAACCCATCTTTCCCACTCCCGACGCACCTCATTAGACATAGAAATTTATTAAAATGACGCATTATAACTCGAGAAATATTGATTATCTCAATCAAAATCTATATTTACATATTAGTCAAATTTTTAAATTTTGGGGTATTTCATAAATTCGCTGCAATGTGGAATTAAATACCTCCGAACACAATCCTTTTTTAGTAATTTCGGTGTAAAAGATTCGTACCTGGTATACGTATAACTGGTTTATTTAAAACGCTGATTTAATTAAATTAATAAAGCGATAGCGATAGTCATTCCTTAATATATAATATGTCGCGGATGATGCTGAAATCCGGAGGCCTTAATTTAACTCTTAGGCCATGCAAACAAATAAAATTGTTTCACGTTCGTTACCCGGCCGGGTAACTTTTTTTGAAAAGGTAAAATTTTTTTCTATATAAATTTTTTATTCTTGTATGAAAAAAAAAAATTTTTTTATGAAAAAAATTTTAAATATAGCATTTTTTGCTGGCCAGCCGAGTCCTATTTGTTTGTCTCATGTAACGAGGAACAACTAATCAAATTTACAGGCCTTATTACAAACCATAGCCCTAAATTTTAGACCAAATCTAAAAAAAATCGTTCGTCAAGTAAAGGTTTTAATATCAGCACCATCCGTGACATTATATATATACCCAAAATACTCGCGGGGTTTTTACTCCACAAAAACGTAAAACTATATATATCGATATATATATATATACTTAAATACTGTACACTATCGTTTTAATCACCGATTGGCGTTATTCGATATAATCAACCAATAGTATTGCGAAATCAGGTGTAACATGGCAAACAAATAAAAAAAAGAAAAAAAATCAGATAACGATAACTCATCAATGAAACTACCTTTTGCGTCTTAAAAATTTTGGCGACCAATATTACCGATTTAACATTACCTGTTACGTTTCGCAATTTCACTCAATTTCACGTACCCAAGCAAAAGTAAAAATTTTCAAAGATATTAACTTTTGCTTGGGTACGTGAAATTGTGTAACGTAACAGGTAATGTTAAATCAAAATCTACGATGACGTATATATCAGATTAGATGATCAACATGAAAAATGGGTCGGTAATATTGGTCAATTTTGGCATAACAATGCTCTTCCCATATTCTAATAATAATTGTCGCGCTTTATGTTATATCTGATGATATTGAAGTAAATTTCATAAAAAATGCCTTTTTATATTTATTTATTGAGCAACGTTCTTTATAAATTTTCGTTATTAGTCGAACGCGTCGAACACTAGTAGCATAGACACGTGACCAGCAACGCAGATGGTGCGAGAATGGGCCAAAGACTCCTTCTGCTGCTTTAGTCATCTATCTTATGTTTGGGAAATAAGAATCAGGATTCATAATTTTTCATAACACGTAAATTTCTATATTTTGCGTCTTCGTATTATTATTATGACAAATTCGGCGGTTATCGTTATATACTATAGGGACTAGGTGACGCAATACTTTTGTTCCAATAAAGCATTTGTTTTGTAGATTATAGCAGAAAAAAAAAATCTTTTTTTTTCTTTCTGCTAAAAATTTCTTAAATCGAACTCTTGAAGATATTGGGCCCTTTACCTGATATACGAGCAGTAAATTTTTTTTCTTGAGGGCAGTGAAAGTATACCGTACGGCTTAAACTTCTTTATATAAAAAGGCAGTAGAAATTAACTGCAAATTTCGGTTCTCATAACTCACCCCATTTTTACTCCGGGCACTTTTCTTCGGAAAGGTGCATTATCATCACGGCGCCACAAAAGCAAGTTGTCAAGTTAATTGTTTTCCGGGGTCATCAGGTAAAAGTTTTAATAACGTTTGAAGTTATCAACCTACCTTGCGTTTCTATTCAAATTAAAACACACCAATAGTCTTCAATACTGCGGTCAAAAACTAGTTTAGCTGGCGTCCTGAGTAAAAATGTTCATCCTCCAAAACCCCTCTTTAACTCTAATTCTTAGCCTCTAACCCTAACTTATAACAACACGTTACTCCTAAATTTTAATAATAAATTTATTAAAAGTGGTGTTGAGCATTATTTTGTGTGTTTTAGTGCTATTTTTAATTTATTAATGTATAATTTTTAATCGTTATATTACTTTGCAGAGGTCACCTCCCTGGCAATCTTGTTCCCTCGGTATTCCTTAAATTATAAGATTTCCTAGAATCTAGACTGGTGTTGTTAACTGGAAGCTACTGGAGGACAACTGGAACTCTGGTACTACTGAAACTTTTACTATTACAAATTTCCACTGGAAGGCTGAGAATTTCTGCTGGAAGCAAAAATTAACAACACTGATCTAGACGCTCGATGAATGATATTGGCACCACTACTTTTCACGATGTTAAACAATATAGCTCTAAATCTCCATCTAATCAGCTGTCTTCAGAATACAAACCGGATTACCAAGCCGATCTCCCAACTATTAGTATGTTACCGGTCAAAGATATTTTAAGGGATCAAATTTTATCTCTTGATATTGATAGATGTGAATCAGATGCCGAAAATGCGTTTTTCGTCGCCAACCTTGACGAAGTATATAATCAACATTTTCGCTGGAAATCACTTTTGCCTCGAATTGAGCCGTTTTATGGTACCGTCAACCTATTTAGTTTGTGCATGAGTGCCTACCGGACTTCGGGCTTTCGAGTTTATATCTTAACGAACTCGGCTCCTTAAAATCTGATCAGTGAAAAATGAAGCGTAGTTAAATTTAATATGTTGTTGATCAGATTTTTTGGGGTAGAGCCTGTTAAGTTAAAAACTTGAAAAATTGATAATAATTTTTTTTATTTAATTCTACAAATCTGTAAAATCAAATAAAAAAAAATTATTATCAACTTTAAAATGTCTAAAGTAGCCCTTAGTGATATGAATCGAAAATCGATTAATCGATTAGTTGATCGAGTTGACAACTAATCGATTGACTATTACAACAAGATTTTAATCGATTGACCAACTAATCAACTAATTGATTATTCGATTAGTTTGCTAATCGATTAGTTGTCTATATATCGGTATATATGTATGTACTGACTGCTATGAATATAGTATATGGGTGTTTATTTAATTTTATCAGATATACTAACTATTCGAAAGCACTTGTTTGAACTAATATATACGTTTGATTCAGAATTCACTTAAATAGATTTGAATTCAAAATCAATAGTTGATTTCGGATATAATATATATGATGATTAAAAATTTACTTATTTATTCAAAGTTTATTACAGCTAGCCCGACATCACATGAAGTAGAGTTAGCATTGGTTAGTTGCAGGTTATATTGTCAATAAATTGCCATCTGCGTGATGTCGGGTGAATAGCCTGTAGAGAAAATTGACGTAAATACAAGTTCGGCGACACATACATACAATACTTAACTAATCGATTAATCAATTAATCGACCAATAAGTTAACTGATTAATTGATTAATCAATTGGTTGATTAGTTGGACGTAATCAACTATAATCGATTATTACAACCAACTAATCGATTACCGATTCATAACACTAGTAGCCCTTGGCAGCACTCATATAATTTTATCTATTTAAATTATTAACTGTAATTTATGTATCCTAGCCGTAAAATGCAATCCCGACCCTTTGCTACTTAGGCTCCTCGCATCATTAGGAACAGGCTTTGATTGCGCCAGTAAAGTTGAAATCCAGACTGTTCTTGACATTGGTGTGGATCCATCAAAAATTATTTACGCGAATCCTTGTAAACAAGCATCATTTGTCCGCTATGCAGCGGAGCATAGTGTTAAAATGATGACATTTGATAATTCTGACGAGCTTTATAAAATAAAGCGTTATTTCCCCGATGCTCAATTGGTGCTTCGTATTCTCACCGATGATTCCATGTCTCTTTGTAAATTGGGCCTAAAATTTGGCGCTTCTTTAGATACTACAGGGTCATTACTGCAAACTGCTCGAAAGTTGGATTTAAATGTGATTGGCGTAAGGTATTATAAAGCTGTAAATTTAATTCGCAATTTATATTTACTTATATTGAACTTTTCCTTTTGTTAGTTTCCATGTCGGTAGTGGATGCTATGATGAAAATGCCTTTATCGATGCCGTTCATCGTGCCAAATTTGTTTTCGATCAAGCTTCTGAGTTAGGATTTAGTTTACATTTACTCGATGTTGGGGGCGGTTTTTCACACTCCCGCAATTGTGATGGTATTACCTTCGAAAAAATCGCGGCTATTCTGGGACCAGAGATCGATAGCTTGTTCCCGCCCAACGTTCGTGTAATCGCTGAACCAGGGCGTTATTATGCTGCACCTGCCTTCACCATCGCAACTCACATTATTGCACGGAGAACTGTTCTTAGTAATGGTGATGTGCAAACCTTAGATATGGATAACATTTTAAACGATGAATCTCCAACTCGGGACGATCATTCTGGATATATGTGTAAGTATTATTGTAATTATTTACAACAGGTATAAGTCACCGAACGCGCAAAAATAATTAGAATCTCAAGATTCATAAAGTTAACATATCGATCTATTCGATTCTTTAAGGCTATTGCATGGTGTTTTGTCCTTAAAGTTAAATTTGAAATTTAAACGCACGTACGTAATCGTCTGTGATTAATAACGTTATTTTAGGTTGTCAGGGTAAGAATTTTGGTTGCTTAATCAATCCCTAGGATTAGACTATGCTAATTATATATAAATTTAACCTTTGAATCTTGAGATTCTTATATTTTATGTCCGATGACTTACATTTAAATGCAATTGGCGAACTAAATTTTCAACAATTGATTTTTATGTTATAGATTATATCAATGATGGTGTGTACGGAGCTTTCAACTGCATTTTGTATGACCACCAGGTAGTTCATCCCAAAGTTTTATTCAAAGAAGGGGTTTTTACATTTGGCGAAATTTTGGATGAACCAGTGTATAATTGTAGTATATGGGGGCCTACATGTGATTCAATTGATTGTATTACCACGACAAGCAGTCTTCCCGTTCTGTTACCAGGCGACTGGTTGTATTTCGAGGAGATGGGGGCGTATACTATATGCGCAGCATCCCAATTTAATGGGTTTAAAAAAAGTAATATTATATACACAGCCACTAATCCAGAGGTATTTGCTATTCTATATGATGCATATTTCTGATGACGTGGTCAAAAAGTATTATTATTTAATATCGATATAGATTGATTTTAATAAAGTTATCTTTCACTTTGTGTGATGGTGTACCGTAATGACTATTTTTCGTAATTGTAATACAAATATCTCCTGAAATAGGAATAACCTAACAATTGCTATGACATTTCATTTCGATAATCGGGTTTAGTCTCAAATAATAAAATTTATAATTATATACGGTAGATTATCAGATTTTTTTTATTAGATTTAATTCCTTATATATTTAATGTAAATATTACGTTTTTATTAGGTGCAGAACGGTAATGGTGAGCGAATTGTCTATATTAAATTTAAATTTTATGTCGGCCTAGCCTAATTATTTATTTTAAATTTCGGGCCTCCCCTGTGCATGCATTTTTTTACGAGAAACTAGCCAATAGGTTATCATCCAGTACCCACGTACTATAAAAATTTATAATACATACTGTAATATATAGCGAATTTGGGTCAAAATCCCGAAAAACGGATCCCCGAAAGAACGTAATACCGACAAAGTTAGCCGGCACTAGCCATAATGCTGGCCAATTTAATCGGTGTTATGTTCTTTCGATAATCTGTTGTTCGGGATTTTGACCCAAAATCATATATAGCATAGTAAATCTAATTAAAGCTCATAGAAAATTGATTAAGTTTAATTTAGACCAAAATTTGAACTTATATTCTTGTGCGTTATTTTATACTTATATAATCTTTTTTGATTATGGATTTTATAATTTTAATAAAAAGTTAAAAATATATATTTGATATTCTATGGGAAGAAATTTAGTTGATTGGCTAATTTGGATTATTTGCTCAAATAATAAATTAAAATAAAAAATCTAAACTGTGTTGTTAAAAGTGTTATTAGAGTTATTATACAGTATTTAGATTAATATTTGTTATATAGATATTGAAATGCGATTTGGCTTAGAAAGTGAAAAGATAAATATAGGTGATGATAAGATTGGATTTTTTTTTTTCTATTTGGCAATTATGCTAATACTTTATTGGGTGAATATATAAAGACTACACATACACATTTATCAAAGCACACACTCTGATTCCCTAATTTACAAGTATTGACTAACCTAGCCCTTTGTAACAGAAGTCCAAATTGCCCATGTTCAATCTGCTACAGTAGAGTTTATCTCAATTCCTATTTCTTCTAAATTGAAGTAAATAAGCAAATCACTAAATGATATTTATAGCCTATTATAACTGCCATTTTCTTTAAATCTCTCCTCTTATAAATATCAGAGCAAGAGGATTTCACAATCCTTGCCTCAAGAATGACAAGTATAAAAAAAACTAATTTAAAAAACAGGATAGTAAAAAAAAGTGGGGAAACTACAAAACCTACATCAACAAAATATATAAGTGTAAACTTATATAAGTTATTATACTCTGAAATATTGTACAATAATTATGGTCTAGGCAGAATATTGCACAATAAATTATGAAATATTATGCAATATATAACATAATATTATGAAATATATTAAATAATATTACAAAATTTATTTTATAATATTACAGAAAAATATTAGAAATATTTTGCAATAATTCAAAACTATTTAAATAGAAGTAAAAAGTATCAAAATAGCAAATTATTTATAAACTAAAAGCTAGTTACTAATAATTAAGAAAAAGCAAATCAAATCAAATTTATCAATATAATTTGGGATATTTCAAAATAAATTGAAATAAATCAAATAAAAATAAGAATATAGTCTGGTGCAAAAAGATTTGTACCTCAAATAGCTTTAATTAAAATATTTTTTGTACAAATTAATTTTTAATTTTTTTAGTTTAATATAATTATTAGATTATCGGATTAATAAAAATAATTTTTTTTTGATAATTTTATTGATTAAATAAAAAAAATTATTAATAGCAACTTTTTTTAATAATATTTACTATATAATTTACTATAGTAATTTTTATATATGTATATATAGTAAAAAAATCAAATCATCTTGCTTTAAAGTTTAGTTTCTTTGCAACCAGTAATCCAATTTTGCTTAAATTTTAACCATATATTTATCATGTATACATTAATGCACTTGCATAGTACAAGCCTATACAACTGCATATTGGTTGCAAAATCATATAAAATATCTTTTTTTTAAAAAAAAATTTTTTCGTTTTTTTTAAATTCAGCAAATTGTACATACTTAATTATTAAAATAAAACAATGTTAAACCAATAAAAATAATATAATAAGTTAGATTAAAATCTATTTTATTTAATATTAAAAAATTTTTAATAATTAATCTAAAATAAAAAAACTTTTACTTAGAGTCAAAATTACAAAAGTTTTTAAGGTACAAATCTTTCTGCACCAGACCACAATAGAAAATATATTTAATTGATAATTCTCCAGTCAGCTGATGTGTGATCTTAGTAAAAAGTGACTCAGATTACTATATAAATTTACTATGATGTGAATATGGTGTTTGCCCAAGGTAAACTTTTTTTCATACTAAGTTAATTATTTTTCTTGCTTAAGAGACTTTTGTAAAGCTTGTCAAGACACATCTAATAGTGGTTAGAGCGTCAAAATCAGCCTGGTGAGTACTGAGATATCTTTAAAAAACCTCTCTTTTACTATGTAAA